GGTTTGGAAAGCGCGTGTAGCTCCCCGACGCCCGGACCTCGCTGCCGGAGGAGCCCAATGAGCTTTAAAGCAAAGCTGGGTTTAAAGCAAAGCTGGGTTTAATTTAAAGCTGGGTTTAAAGCAAAACCGGGTTTAATTTAAAGCTGGGTTTAAAGCAAAGCCGGGTTTAATGAGTTGGTGGCTCGTGCCAGCCTGGGCTTGAGCCTGGGGGGAAGTTGGCGTGGTCCGGGGGAGCTACCGGAGACTTGGGGTCCCGGTCCGTGGGAGAGGGGTCCCACGACCACCCGTGCTCGCTACTGGGAAGGGGGAAAATTGTTTTCCCAAATTCCTGCGGCTCTGTAAGCCCGAACGTTTGCACTCTGGTAGCGCTGGAAAGCAAAACCTGCTGTTGTAAGGGATGTTTTGCAAACACCCGGCAGCGCTGTGAGTCACAAGGGCACAGCGGGACAACCAGGGCAAGGCCGGATCCTGAGAAATTCATCCCACTTTCCAAAATCCGGGAGGTCGCCGGCAGGGTTAGCATCGCCCCATCCTCGTGAGATGCGTCCTGACGGCACGGCAAGGCTGCGCTCCCGGCTCCCCGCTCCTGGCCCACGTCCACCCCCCCGCGGTTAAATTTCCTCTTTTTTTTTTTTTTATAAAAACAAAAAAAATTAAATCATCACCGCAGAGCCGCTGAGTCACTTGTGCCCGAGCGCCGGAGCCATTGCAGAACGTCTTTTCGGGGGGGTTACAAAGGTTGTCCATCCACCTCGGGCAGAGCCGCCGAGGTCGGTTTAAGCAGCTGCTGGTCCGGCTGCTTTTTGCAGGCGAAACGTTACGGCTGGAGAAAAAAAGGCTGCAGCATCAACCTCGGGACCCCGATCGGAGGATTTGCAAGGATTTACGGACAATTTGAAGCTCTCGAAGTTTGAGAGCGAACTGCAGAGTCGGTGGCTGGTTTTTCCCCGCCTTGACGTGCCCCAGCCTGCTCCTCTCCATCAGCCCGAATAAAACCTTTGCTTTGATTAGCGCTGCATCACCACCGGCATCCCCGCCTCGCGGCTGGGCCCTTCGGGGTGTTGCGTGTGAGTTTATCACTTTTATTCCTTTTTTTGGCAGTTCTGAAGGACCCCAGACCTTCGCCTGGAAGGAGCCGATGCGATGGAAGGAGATCAGCCCCCTCTGACTGCAGGTGAGCGTCCCAGGACAGCTTTGCCGGGCCGTTTGTCCCGTTCAATCCTCAGTGAGACCTTGTCGGGGCCACCGCGTGCCCCATCCAGCTAAGCCTGGCTTAGCCAGGTCAGGACCAGCCTTGCTCACCTTCTCCTCTCTCCCTCTCTCCTGGTTTGATGAAGAAGAGCTGACAACCCCCAGCCTGAAGAAGGCTCACACCCCACCTCTCCATGAGGACGCCAACACCGTGGTCATCGCAGGTAGGGGCTCTCCTCGCCGGATCCACCCCATTCACCAGCTCGGTACCGACCGCTAAACCCCGCTCCTCCCTCTGCCTTCTCCCCGGTAGTTGTCATCACCCTGGTGTTCCTCACCCTGCTGACGGTCCTGGTGGTGATCATCATCTACCTGTACAGAAACAAAGGCAGCTACCTCACCTACGAGCAGCCGGTGGCGGAGACCGACGTGTCGGTGCAGATGGAGGACGCTCCATCCAAAGAGAAAGAGGAATATTTTATCTAAGCCACCGGGTCCAGCGCACACCTCTCCGACGCACTCAGGTCCAAGTTGCCTCAATTCCTTGGAGTTGGGATCTACAAGCTGCTTTTTTTTTTTTTTCCCTTTTTTTTCCTTAATTTATTAAGCCAACTATGGAAGGAAAAATAAATAGGTGTGTGTCAGAGCTTTGCCCATCGCTGCCCGGAGCAGACCGAGGGCAGGGAGTACTTCGGCTCGGCGGAGGAGAGCAGGCACGGCCGCGCTCCGGCTGCCCGCACCCACCCCATCTCCTCCCTTCGGTGCTTTCTAATACAACCCAGTGACAAACGCTTGAAGAGTCGCTGTTGTTTTCTTTTTCCTTATCTCACAAAACAATTAAATTATTCTGCCGATGATTTAGGGGTGGGGTAATTAGCATGGCTAATTTGGAGGCTAAGGTTAAGCGCGCATGTAAAATAGGCTGACGGATCGTGCAAGTTACAGAAAGCCCCATTGTAGCTTACGAACCCGGGGACGCTCGTCCCTGCCCCGAGAGGCGCCTGACCTCGGAGAAATCAGAAGCGGAGCAGGTTCGCTTCGTCTGCAGAGCCGGCTTTAGCCCCGACACACAGGCTCACGTAGGCACAGACGCTAGTTTTCCTCTGCTTTTGCTACGCACAGGGACGGGGCAAGGAGCAGCTCCAGACATCCCTCCTCTGCTCCCTTCTCAAGGGCAGTTCCGCCTTTAAACCAAACCCCCCCCCAAAAAAAAAAACCAAACCCCAAAGGGGGAAGTTCACAAAATAGCAGCGAAGAGGAAATAAGTGAAGAAACCCTAAGGCTTGCGATGGGCAGGAGCCAAGGGGTTTTATTTGAGGTCTAATGCAAATTTGCTACTTTATTCAAATTTTCAAAATAGTCTTTATTCTACTTTTTTTTTTAGTATAAAAAAATCCACAAGTTAAGTGCACCACAGTGTATACAGAGAGAGACATAATGCTGAACTTTGATAACAGTCAGTTGTATGGTTAAACACAACATATACAAGACACAGATTTAGATTAAACTGAAACCTCAAGATAAAATATATTTGAATCTGATATTTTTCTTCATAAAACAAAACAAAACAAAAAAACCAAAACATTGAGGATCCCTGAAATATTCTTCTTAACCCTAATAAGACTTCATTATACCCAAGTCATTTTTAAAGTATGCATTCATAAAACAACCCATTAACCAAGCTAATTTGTGTGTTGATTGATAGTTGCTACACACCCTTGGACAGATGGTAACCAGCCTCTCTGTTTGAACAACAGCCTTAAGGAGTTTTGGTGTCAAGACACCAGGTTGAGTTTAAAAAAAAAAAAGGAAGTTTGTTTATTAAGCATCGTTCTAAAAGCCTAGTTAGCATCGAATGAAATGTTCAAACATGAGTTGCATTGTGTTTCTGGCACCAAAGCATGGCTTTGATTAGATCTAATGTGCAAAGAAATCCAAGATCACTTGGAGTGTATAAAAAAAATCCCATGATACACGCCAGCTGCATACCTTCCTGGAGGAAAACGACGGGCGAATGTGAGCACAGAGTGCTTCGAGGGATCCGTTCTAGAGTGAGGTCAGGAAGAAAGAAGCGCCAAGGTGCCCTCCCCGCTATCGGGAGCTTTTCTATCCAGCGCCTTCGCTGGGGAAACCCGGGTGGTTTGTGGCTCTGGGTCCAGCGGACCGGCACGACCGTGAAGGGAAGGCGAAACCGGATCCGCTCCCTCGCCCTCCCCAAAGCCAGTGTATAAGTAGCCGATTAATAAAAGCTCAGCGCTAAGGTATTACTCCAGTGAAATGAAAGGAAAGGGGCAGGGCTGCTGAGCTCACATTCATTTCGTGAATTAATCCCCCCCTCCCCGTTTGAACAGAGGCACCGCTATCATTAACAGGGTTTCTTGTTTGGCTTGAAAGTGCCTGCAGGGCCGGGCACCGAACCAGGAAGACACCTCACCGCTGTGTGTCTAATCTGCAACTTCAGGTTAATATGGACTAAAGCAGTTACATCGTGAGAAGTGCTGACAGTATGTGATGTCTGTCCTTACACAAATGTAGCCCCCCCCTCTCC